CTTCGAGTACATGGAAAGACCAAGGCCTTTACGGCCTAGGCTTGGAGCAGAACATACAGGACTACCTTGATGAATATGACAGCGGCGACTTTGGCTTTGACACTCTAGGTTTAGGGGCAGCAGGAGATACGAGCGACGACCTGGATGGCCAGGTCATCGCTGCACTGGCCACTAAAGACTATGACGTGGGATTCCTTGGTGTCACCGACTACCCTACAAATTTTACTGCATTCGACGACCCGCATGCCAGCTATTTGTCTTCTTTAAAGGCACATAGTAAAATTCCGAGCCTGTCTTTTGCTTATTCGGCTGGAGCGCAATATCGTATGACTAGCCCGGCTGCATTCAATGACTTTCGTAATTGACAATTGACAGGTCCGAACAAGCCCGATGGGACCCTCACCTTGGGGGGTTATGATGCTTCAAAGTTCACGCCGAACGATGTTCCTTTCACAATGGCAGCTGATATATCACGAGACGTAGTTGTGGGGTTGCAGTCCATTACTTTCAGTGATGCGACAACAACAAATGACCCGCTGTTATCCACAGGCCTTTTAACATTCATCGATTCTTCGGTACCACACATATGGCTGCCTATAGAAGCCTGCCAGGCTTTTGAAGATTCGTTTGGCATTGAATGGAACAGCACGATCGAACGATACCTCGTGAACGACACCCTTCATAGCCAATTGAAAAAGCAGAATGCCAGTGTCTCCTTCATAATCGGCAACGACGTCAATGGCGGTTCCACGGTAAACATCACATTTCCATACGCCAGCTTTGACCTCAATATCAGTGCTCCATTTGTCGATACCACTCAATATTACTTTCCTCTACGTCAAGCAGCCAATTCTACTCAGTATACACTCGGACGAACATTCCTTCAAGAAGCGTAAGTCATGAAACATATTGTTCATTGAAAAGTTACTTACATTGATAGATACCTCATTGTCAACTATGAACAAAACAATTTCTCCGTCTCGCAGAATAGCTGGGTATCAAACGCCCCATCCCAAATCATACCCATTGCCGCAGCCTCCAACGCTACAACGTCGAAGATAACCAAAATCATAAAGCCCTCTCACAAAATCTCCACTGGCGCCATAGTTGGCATAATAGTCGCTGTTGTCGCCCTAATCATCGTCGCCGCAATTGCAGCCTTTTATATTATCAAGCACCGAAGCAAGAGGAGGAAGGTGGAAAAAGGGGAAATGGAAGGTGATGAAATGACCCCTTTCCACAAAGCAGAAATGGATGCCACGCCAGCCGGCAAGGCTCCCTTCGAAGAGCCACCATACGATTACAAATTCGGAGAGGAAATGAACGGCAGTAAACCCGATTTAGGGATGGACATGAGGAAAGGATCGGAAATGGAGGGCAGCAATCCGGACCTAGTAATGGTTGCGAAGCTAAAATCCGAAATGGAAGGGGACGCGGGCGTTATGCGAGCCGAAGCTCCGGGAAGCGGAAGCGTGTTGCGAGCTGAAGCCCCAGGAAGTGAGGGCGTGTTAAGAGCCGAAGCTGAAGGAAGTAGAGGTGGTTGGGAGATGGAAGGAAGCAAAGGGACTCCCAGAGCAGAGATGCCGGTGCCTACTTTCGCCCCAGTTGAAATGTACGCCGGTGATCATGGCCTTTACGAATTGCCATCCCCTCTCAACGGCAGTGATCGACCCTCTCCCATCAGCTCGCCACATTCAACTGAAAGACAACCTGGCGCGGCGTCGTGGAGCAGACGGCAGATGGATGTTCCGCGATTACCTCGTTCTGGAAGCGACATTTCTTCACCGGATGAGGACAGCCAGGGAAATACTCGGAGTCCCCACAGATCGATGCACACGTCCAGGGGTCTCAATCCAAGTCAGGTGTCGCCGCAAAGCCAGAGCAGGGAACGACAGGGGAGCGGTGGGGAATTCGCAGACAGCGCATCAAGGAGGACAACACCAACGAATCTGTCGCCTAGCGACGAAAGCGATCCTGACAGATGGCGTCGGGGCTACGGCGGTAATCTATCACCCCGGAATCCTACATCCAGGGAGCTATCCTCGCCGACTGAAGGGGGCAGTGAAGGAAACAAACGGCTAGGGAGTACATCGAGCGCTGGTACGCCAAGAGCTACTCCACCGAATGAGCGCGCACCGAACAGTGGACCGCCGAGACCACCAGGGGAGTATTTCTGATTCATCCTACGATCTTACGTTTTCTCGGACATAGTCAGTCAATCCTGTTGGAATACCGGCACGGATACACTGGGCAAAAGCCATCTAGCACCGGAGGCGCTGGAGCGTAGGACGGGTAAAACGCCTGTAACACGAGGATTATCTCTTTCCGAAAGGACCAAGCCAAACCATCGCTCAACAGCATCAAAGGTCTCACTCTGATTAAAACCCCAATAATGATCACGACGACCGAGTGACACCAACGAGCGCCCTGCCCCTATCCCAAAAGCACGGTGACCCATCACTAGAGACCCCCCCCCCATATCTGCGCAACCTCCCCCTTTGGCGCTTCACCCAAGGTCCACCGTGTCCCATTCGCATCGACGACGCTATTCCCGTCGCCCGGTATCGGAAGAAGCGTGCTCAGGTTGGGCGGGAGCGGAGAGAGAGGGGATGAGGCAGTTTAGCCGGGGAATGGAAATATGGGGAAAAGCTTTTTGGATGATGTTGGAATTGTTGGGATTCGGATTAGTAGTTGCAGGAGCGACGGATTGCATCTTTATCAACGCGAAATATATGCTTTGTCAACGATTGAATAACCATGTGACTATTCTCCGTGCCATATGAACAAGCAAAGCGGACTCGGTATCATTGACGTTTCACCTTGCATACGGGCACACCATGAAGCCATCAGTGACGAAACTGCACCGTCGAATCAATTTGCAGCATTCATTGCATTGCTTTCATCTATGTATCGCGCCAGCCACAGGCCCTCGTTCCCCACCATCCTTTGCACGGTAGGTAATCCGAAAGCCCAGCGATTGCGCCAACCACCTCTATCGCGTTGCAATGACGCTAAGTGTGCGCAGAAAACCCAGACGCCGGACGTAACATATTCGCATGAAAGGAACCATTGCAGGACTTGAATTGAAGCGGCGCAACTGCCCGTCGAACACTTGGCTCAAATTTGCACGCTCGGCAGGGTATCATCCATGTCCCTAAGTGATGGTATAGCCTCCATCCATGTCCCTAAGTGATGGTATAGCCTCCATCCACCCTCAGCTCGGCGCCGGTAACGTAGCCTGAAGCTTCACTCAAGAGATAAGTGACCGCTCCCATCAAATCCTCCGGCTGCCCCATTTTGCCCTGTGGGATCAGGGAGGTCCAGTGCTTGAAAAGCTCTGGATTGTCGTCGAGGATTTTTCCCGTCCTATAGTGCGTTAGATCTGGTAGTCAAAGGTAGAATGCAGGGCGAAGAGGCTTACAGCGCGGTCAGCATGTAACCCGGAGCAATCACGTTGACACGGATCCCAGCATGTGCCCATTCAACGGCCAAACTGGATGCCAAATGCCGAACAGCGGCTTTGGCCGCGTTGTAGGGCGCCTGTGGTTGAGGCACGTTGACAATGGCGCCTGACATGGAGCCGATCATGACCATGGAGCCTTTGACCTTGCGCTCCATGAGATGCCTAGCTACTTCGCAGGCGAAAAAGTAGGTGCCGTCGACATCGACTCCCCAGAGCTTCTTCATGCGGTCTGGCGGATATGCGATGGCATCGAAGTTTTCGGTGAAGCCGGCAGATGTAACGAGGTGGTCAATCTTGCCGTGGTCTTTGACAATGTCAGCAACGACCCTCTTGACCGACACGTGGTCAGACACGTCACAGTAGTGGGCCGTGACTTTAGGAATGCTGCTTGTGTCAATCATTGAAGGCCTCGAAGCTTTTAGGCGTAGACGTACATCTCAGCGCCAGGATTCTCCTCCTCAAAGTGTCTCATGAGCTCCTTTGCCTGGCGATCGCCTTCCTCCTCTGCATCACGTTAGTGGCTGTCAGTGGCAAGGTAGAAAGGTACTGACTGTTCAAGTCGACAATGGCTACGTCGGCGCCGGAGATGACGCAAGCCTGGCTCATGACAAGGCCCAATCCTCGAGCCCCGCCGGTTACGACAGCCACACCACCCTCAAGCGTAAAGGAAGCCAATGTTCTCTTGAAATGAAGCCCACCGCGGCCCTGAATGGGCTTGGACGGTGGGTGGTCAGACTCGTCCGGGTGTTCAATGCGAATGGTCTTATCGGTACGACCGAAAGATCCCTCGTGAGACTTTTCATTGTCGAGAGCTCGTCCGGCGGCGCTAGGGGTGCGCTTGTCCTCCTTGTAGAGCTTGGTACTGCATGTGATTGGGCGGATGGAATATATTGGCTTGGAGAGGGAAAGGGATGTGATGCGCGAGGCGGTTGCTGAGAGGAGCTTGGGCGAGCGTGCGATGACACGAGAAGTAAACATTGTGTGGCGGAATGGATAATCGATGGTGCACCAAGCTGTGCAATGAAAGTGTCTGAGGTTGTAGAGGTATGGAATTGTGAAGCGCTACTGGATGATGTTGTTGTCGTAGGTAGGAAGAATGACGAGGTAGTGAGAGCTGGCCGGAGCTGGCGGGTGATTTGTTTTCGTGTATGACGAAAATGCTGCTATGATATAATGGTATTGCAGTGAAGAATTGCTAGAAAACGTGGTATTGACTTTTATAGTAATATTTATTACTCTATTGATTGATTAATTCAACCCTTTTTCATCTTAATCCCCCCACTCGTGGCACTATGCGCGTGGGGGAAGAGCTCTTTCGGCCTTCATTATCCAACGTCCCGAGCTCGCCCCATCCCTTTTGCATTCTCCATTGTCCACTTTCTCTCCGAATATAATATGTCATTTCATCGTATTGACAAACGAGAAAACTAAATCAAGGTATTCGAGTACTCTGTCTTGTGTCTTCGAGGCCGGGTTCCAAAGCTCCAGAGCATTCTCAACTCCAATTTCATCCTCTAACGAATTCAATTCTTAATACTCAGTAGTGGTTTTCAAAAGCATCCATCTCATTCTCGTCCATCAAGTCCCACTTCCTCGCTGTCAACTTCCTCATCTTCTTCCCTGGTGTTTTACCAGGGGACTGTGCCTTGTACGCAGCTGCATCTATCAAGCTCATGCCATTGAGCTTGGAGAGTGCTGTTCCCAGCGCAGTGGGTCCGTAGTCCTTGCTGGGACTGGATAGTTGAGGCTTTCGCGGTGCTTTGGTTGGAGATCGACATTGTAAATCACGCTCAAGAGCTTCAAGCTTGCGACGGAGAGCTTCATTCTCGTTTTCCAGCTCGGTAGTGCGTGTGTCTTGATCAATGGCATCTTCATGGACTGTGCACGATCAGTACGATGGTGGAGAGCATGGAGAAGTCGGCTCACTTTCGATACCCTGGGTAAGTATCTCCAATTTGCGATCAAGGTGCTCGTAATTTCGATCTGCCTATGTTGCTGATCAGTATTGCTCTCCGACCTCGCTTGTATGGTCTCAAGCTTACCTCTTCACCCCAGGCCCCCATCCATCGTCTCCTCTCCTCTGCGGTTCTTCTCTCCATCTCACCCCAGCATTCCTCCCTTACCTCCATCTCAATCTGTTCCGCCTTCTCTTCGGCCTTCTGCCAGTTTTCTTCCGCTTCTCTCCTACGCTCTTCTTGCTCCGTCAATTTCACATTCAGTATCTCGACCTCCTCATTCAGCCTAGCAATCTCTGAGAATGCCATCTCCACTACTGCCTCGTCTGTGTGCGCAGCGGGGGGCAACGTCTGACCACTAGGAGTTCTGCCAGTGGTATTGGAAAGGATTGTACTCGAGACCGATGGTATGCGAGGAACGGTAACTTCGCGGGCTAGAGCGGAATACCGTAGGATTTGGGAGGTAGCATTGAACTCGTTTAACGGATCAGCGGTCACGATCATGATGGCCTTCTGGGCGTTTCTATGGTGCGTGGTGTGGGTCGCGTGGTGATGAGAAGAGGATGGGAAGGAATTGGAGAAGAGCAGCTCGGTCAGCTTGCATTGGCGGAAAGGAACCAGGGTCGGCTACCGAAAATCAGCATTCATCCCCATACTTAGACAGTCTTTCCTACCTTTGTACCATCGTTACTGTCGCTCTGCATCTGCAGACATTGGCCGAGATACATCAAGCTTTCATTGATCTTCCCAGCTTCTGCCAGCGTTGCTCCTGCGGTTTTTGCATTTCTAGCACGTTCGGATCCAGCCAGGTCAACGACAGTCAGCTGAGAGCCGGTCCATGAGTTTGACAAGCCACCTCTTGGCCGCCTTTTCACTTCGACGCAGAAGAAGCCATGACTCCTCGAGCTGACGCTGTTGCTTCCAGTTCCAGCAACCCTCCGCTCCATCAGCCCCGTCTCCAACACTATCAACGCCTCTTCATAACTTCCACACACTACCTTGCGCAGGCCAGCAACCACCTTCCGATCTGGTGATGCTTCGGTTGATTTGAAGAGCAAGTGTCTTCGACGAAGGTCTTTCTGATTGCTTGGCACCGACAGAAGATCAAAGATGCGGTCGTTGTATACCTCATACATCGAGACTAGGATCGCGTATTCCGCATTCGGCTCGACAGAAAAGGCGAGGTCGCTGATGTTTGGGAATTGTGGGAGCGCAGAAGGTCGTTGAGGAAGCTTGCGTTTAGGCACGCTAGGGGTAAAGGCTGGGTCCTGTAGATTATCACCAAACCGCACTTTAGCTTGCTTTCTCGTCATCCTCGGGATTGGGGGTTTCCAAACAGAGAGCTGGGACGGAAGGCTGCTCATATGATTGGGGGTCTGCTCTGCATTGGGTACAGACGCTGCCTTGTCCTCTTTGACGACTGAGCGGTCTGTTTCTTCGGGAGAAGGAGTCCCAGCATCGAGACTCAGGATCGACCACTGGCTTCTCGGACCAGTCGAATGATGTACCTTCAATGAAGAATGGGGGACCTTGAGGGACGAACGAGAAGGATTGCCTACCATCATGGGTGTTGGGGCTCTCGAGCGGGACGGCTCTTGCAGACAGTCTCCGTATACATTGTCCAGGAAGCCTGAGGCAGAGAAGATTTGGGCTTCTGAGGCGTCGGTGGCATTCAGGGAAGCGATCAACGATGGATGGTTTGCTGAATGCAGCGTCTGCGTGTCAAGGGAGCGGTATAAAAGATCCAGAGATAGTTGGGTCAGCCCTCTCTGCGATTTCGATCCTAGTATCGTATGACTCTGGCTGCACATCAGCCAAACCCAACCTCCCAAGCTCATTGACAGTGCTATGAACGAACCTTCCCCGACCCCGTAACCCCCAATGTAGCAAGCAACCCGTCTCTGCCTTCTCCCAGCACACCCTCGATCAACGGCACCACGCCCGTCCCTCTGAAAATATCAATCTGCTCCGCCTGCTCTTCAAACACCTTCGTAAACGCAAACTTCTCCACTGCTCGCTTCCGGGAGTCGCTGGGCGGATGAATCGTGATGTGTGTCGGCATTCCATCTTGTGATTCTTTACCAGGGGCTTCGACTGTGAGATAGCGTTCTGAGGGCGCAAGGAGCGGATAGAGGGATTGTTGTGTCAATTGGACGAGGGGGGACGGCGGAGGACGCAGGCGGAGGTAAACCTGGAAGAGGGAGGTAGGAGAAGCTTTGTGGGATTGGTCTGTTGCTGCCATGATGGGCGTGATGATTGAGCGTGGAGTGTGAAGTCTGATTTTCGGTTTTTAGATAATTGATGGTTCGAAAGAAGATTGTTTACTATTTTAAGCCGAGGGGCAACCGGTTGCTAGGCGCTTTCTTGGGACCGAGGTCACTCAACTACTACTTCATGCCAAAGGCTTTTTCTTTACAGGTTTTAAGAGCAAGAGTAGATACGTATATCGAATATGATGCAAATCTTGGATGCTGTCTGATCTTCTCTACAATCAATCTGGAGCCCGAAGGCCGGCTGCCTGGTGCTCCGGTCGCATCATGGAAGCATGCAACTAAACGACTTTCTTAAAGCAGCGTTCAGGCACGGGTCCCTTTGATCATGGCCCTATGTCCCTCTGTTCGAATAGCCTAGCGCTTGGAATACGTCCCCAGTACCTAGCGTAGGCAGTGTTCAGGGTAGGAACCTGGAACCCTTTGTTCACCGGCGAGTGCTACCTCTGTCTCCCTATTTACCAAGACCAGGGCCAATTCCACGCTACCTAGAATGCCACGTGTTTACATCCGAGCGATATGCTGTCTCAGTGGCCGATCAAAGAAGCTTTCCCACTGTCCACACTGGCGCGTTCAGATTCCTCACTTGACGAGAGCTCACCGTCGTCGGATTCTTGACCGACCTCGGACTGCGCCGGCCAGGAGTCCATTACTCGTATGCGTTGTAGTATGGTGTTTTCGGCATCTGCCTATTGATATGGCAAGATAGTGGCACAATAGTCTATTAGAGGATAGACATCGGATGGCGGATACATGCTTGGGCTGAAGCAGACCGGGACAAGCACCTGGCATGTCTGCTTCTTTGTCCCATAGTTGACGAACTTTTTGGGCCTCGCCATGACAACGATGTGGCCCTTCGTAAACTCCATGATGCGCCAGAAAATCCGTTGGACTTTGGATGGTGATCTCGTTGGCTTGGACAACAGAAAAGCGCGCTAATGGAACTCATAGCATGGCTTGTGGATTCAACCCTGTTCACTTCTTCTACTCGAATGGCGATTTACGATAATAGATGTGTGTGGCCAGGGTTTGTTCAGGACGCCACACCGATGTACTCAGTGAAATGAGGGATGAGACCCATTACGTATAAAGTACCTTATGGATACCCGACTCTCATCGGCTAACCGAGAGTCTTTCGAGCAGGACATATCGTAAGAGGCTCAGGGTGTTATTTCAGGCCCACCTCAAAAATGCACGGTGCTTGAAACATGCTTGGTGTGTGTTACTGGCGAGTGTACGCACATAAGAAATACCGTTGGTTCATCGTTGCCATTCACATTCAAGTATCATGTCACGGAACCTAGACTCTATCTATCAAATTCAACGGTGCTATGCGAAGTGGTACATCGTAGCAAGCGGTCTATAGTACAAGGAGCATACGAGTATGTACCCAGAGAAACTTCCAATGACACCATGCAATGCCATGCCAGCTCGCTGAAACGCTCAAGTTGCAACTCCAAAATGCTTGCGAAGATACAATAGTAGTACAGTAGTCATACAACTCAAATGGCTGGTGTTGCATCCATTCCCACCATCATGACATCAAGGCTTGCCGGCCTTTCAAATCAGTGTTCCTGACCCACAGACCGATTCTGCTCCCTCTCGAGGAGTAGCGTAAGCTGGCCCTTCGTCCTCGGTAACGGCTGGGAGGTCCCAGCTGGTGGCTCAGGTCCCGCGGATGCAGGGGCTTTGAGCGCGACTATCTCATTTTTGAAAGCCTCTTTGCCCTTATTCCTGCCGGCAGTGGGTGTACCTTGGCCTGTGTCTAGCATGCCTAAGGCTTGGAACGAGGCAGCTGTTGGCACAGCTGCGGTGGATTTGCGTGCAAAGGTGGAAATGTTCGTGAACGATCGGTGCGAGGGTCGTGTCTTGTCCACAGATTTAGACCTGAACTCGGGATCCACAAGGGGTTTGGATATCTCAGGATTGGCGTTAGCTATCTCTTCACCAAGCGTAGGTCCTGAGATTGGGTTCCTAGAAGGCTCTTGTGCCCCCGCATCCTCACCGCCAAAGTCAACCGCCGGTTCCTCGCCGGATGGTGGACCTGGGGGCGACCCCCTGCGATGCTTCGAAGGATGCGGACTTGCCGCTCGTAATCGTCTTAGCGATGATGCTTCCGTTTCTGCTTCTTGGCCGGGACTCTTAGCGGTGATCGTAAAAGTAGGCTTCATACTCCGAGCCAAATTTGGTGAAGATGAACTTCTCAAAGGTGCGTCTTTCGAGACGCCAAAGGAGGAAGCTTGCGATGACCTTTGCCGCATGACAGGGGGTCTTCTCTTACTCGCACCGGCAGTGGCCACTACTATAGGATTCCTCCTTCCGGATCGCTGACTGCTTTCGCCAGACAGACGACCACCGGATAATCGTGAGACGGTAGAAACTTTGGGAATCGATACCGCGACCTCCTCATTGAAGCGTGTCGTAGTCGATTTACGGGCAGATTTTCCGGCGATGGGAACAAGTGATTCTGTAGGTATGGCATCATCGTCGAGGTTGACAGCCTCCTCATTGCCAGCACCTGCAGTAGACCATACTTCTCGGGAAGCTGGAGACAAAACAGAGGAGCTCTTTGATGATCGATTAGAGCCCGAGCTTAACTTCTTCAGTATTGGCGGCGGCCGAGTGGTTGTTGTTTGCCTGTTCTCCTTTGCCTTGGTAGTGGCTTCTGAAGACATTTGTAAACAATTTTGAAGCGATGGCGTGACTGAGGGACCCTCCAATTTCTCATCAGGCGGAACAGGTTCAGCCTTGGGCGAGGCTGGCGAGCTTGACACTGTACTTTTGGTAGAGGTAATCGAGCGAGCTCCTCTGTCATAGCTACCTAGATTTCTTGAGGATCGCGGGGATGGCGTTGGTGTGGTTCTGATGTAACCACCCTGGCTTATGCTATTGAATTGCCTACCGATCAGCGCACCACTTAGACGCTCTCGTACACGATCACTCATCGCAATCCTCCAAAAGAAGTTCTCGAGTCTTTGGCCCACATTCTCTGCAATGGCTGCATTCCCTGACGAGTAGACTAGGAAATCGACAATGTGAGCTGTCTCGCGAAGAAGAAGTTTGGCTGAGGTAGCATACTTCGCCATAATTTCAGAGTATCCTCAGCTTCGAAGGTAACAGCCTCGTCTATCCCGACTGTAACGCCCTTCTTATTGCTGACCAAACCCTCTGGCAAGCCTCCGGCCATCTCGGGCAGCTCGCTCACTGGGCGAGCGAAGATTCATTCGTTATGTCATGGACATGGTTGCAGGCGAACAGCAAAGTGAAGCCTGTCATACAATGACAATTTATGTCAGCGCACATAAGAATGGCAAAACGCTACACTCAAATTACAAGTTTCCAAGGTATATGTATCCTTCATAGATATGTTGAAACCGGTACCTGAAAGCAATAACGGGGGGAGGCGGAGCTGGTTTCATAAAGTAGGGACAAAGCGACAATGAGCGGGACATTGCAAGGAGACAGGAATTTTCCATGTACGTAAATTTAATGATTGGCTCGCTGGGAAGATAGGAGGAGGGTCACCTGTTGAAAATCCCGGCCACTTGGAAGGTACTTGTAAGGTAAGGTAAGGTATGCGACAGCAAGTTTGTAATAAACCAAATCGCTATAAGATTAAGACCCCCGTTGCATATAAAAATACCGTTCCAAATAAACGATTTCAGTCGTAGGTACGCCACAGTTAGGCTGCAAAATAGTAGTCCCCTGGGCTGGGTGGGGAGATCGCCGGTTCGTAGCACTAAAGATCGTATCTTTATTACCTTAGTCTTGGTCGAATCTGGCGGATTTGGCTCAGGTTTACCTTAGGCCCTTCTTGGGCACCGCGTGAGACTATCCTACTTTAGAGTGTTCGAAATCAGACTGCTATAAGGCCCCATTGCATATAAGATACTGTAACAAACGAGGATCAGAATGAAGGTTTTGCCTGTAAAACAGTGTCTTACATGACAAAGAACATACATGTAATCAACAAAGAGAAAAGATCTGCGCCGCCAAATCTCAGTAAGGAATACAACGTCGATGAGCGGTCGGATCGATGCACGTGGCAAAAACGTGACATCATCCGAACTTTCTTCACCTCTTGCTCTTCTTGACGTGGCACTGCACCCAAGTCGCTTCTAAGCATTCAACATGTCGTATCGAGCTTCTTTGCGCAGACACCTTGACCTTGTGACCGCCGGGCGCAATTAAAACAACAGGCGGCAGATGAGATTTGCAATTCATTCACCGCTTGGAGTATGGTGTGCCAATCGTCAAGGTCAGCTGTCCATCAAGCACTGAACATTTACCGACAACTTACAAGGACCTGTTCACTTGTTTCACGACCACTATCTGGAAGACTTGTTGGGAAAAAGGCCCAGCCCTGAAATTTCCAATTGCCGGGTTCATGCGGCAAAAGATCTTGCTTGCTTCAATTGCGGGAAGAACATGCATGCCAACGCACGCGACATTCAACCGAAAGCTGAGTTCATGTATGATGTATGCCATCTCGATTCCAGAATCCCCACGGCAAGCGTCTCTACTTCTGGAAGATGAATACGCGTATACTGGTTTCTCCTCGCCGTTGGACGGTACATCATTGGAAAACCGTGACCGAGAGCGTGTGCTTAAGAAAAGATGCATACGTTGTCCATGCGTTCTGATTTGAAGCTCCTCTATGTCCATTTGCAAAAAGATGCACGATGGGTGGCTTGTAGAGCACATTTCCCTTGTACTTGGCCCTTTTATAGCGGTCAGAGTCCTCTGCCATCGGCGTGTCCGATGCCAGGGAAGGCGACATGTGGGATAGTAGTACCAGCCAGTAAAGTCGTCTGTACAATCCCAAGTCAACACGCTGTGCTGGCTCTGCTCCAAATTGCAAAAGGGTCGCAAAGCTTACTGCATCTATACGACGTCTGCCATACCTAGGACTGCATAGCTGCCAGATCTGCTCCCAGCAAACCTTTCAGGGCTCTTGGGACGGAAAGTAGCTAGCTGACATTCCATGAGCAGTGAGGACGTATTCGGGATGAGCCGTTTACGCGGGCAAATCTATAATGTATGGTTATCGTTGCGTCCCAGATCTGCGAGCACTTGCAGGAAGGTGGCACCGGTGGCTTCGGGTCCACGGGTCATGGGTCACGACATCGTAAGATACGAGTTCAGGCTTCATTACGAGAGATCCACTTCTTAATCGGCCTTTAACATCAAGAATCTATTACCAACGTCATTCCCAGTCCACATCATACATGTGCTAGCGTACAATCCTCTTTACTCTTTACTCTCTACTCTTTATCATCTACTCTTCTCAGTATGTCAGGAAAGGAAGGTGCATATGGATATGGATATGGATATGGCCGACTTGCTTTGATGCTGCTCACTCAGTATCCCCTTCATCAACTCGAGAAAACAGAAAACAGAAAACGGAAAGACGAGTTACGCTCGAAATGTGAAGACTTGCCACCAGTTCAAGCTTCTTAAATCCCACTGTCTGTCCGAGCACTTCCTCAATCCCACTGTTTCTCCAGTCTTTTGGCGTCGGCATCAATACGAAATTTCTTCCATATAAAGACGGGACGAGTCCAAGACCCAATCTGCCTTTGAGCTCCATCGACCATTGAACAAACGGGCAGCAGCCACAGAGGCGGCTCAAAACTGCCTTTCCTTGACATGGTGGACAAGAAGGATAAAGACGTTCGCGTTCGCTACGCGCCCATTCTCGGTCTTTGTCCGCAAGCGTTCATTCCAGTCCCTCTTAAGAGGAATGTATTGCAACCGTCGCTTCGACGACCCTCTTCTATCTTTCACCTTCGTCAAATTTCTTCTCCTTCCTTCCCACACTCTCATTAAAAGATCTTATCACACTGAAGAACATCGCGTTTACTATTCTCAAACCACAAAAACATACTAGAAGCCTTCACTTCCAACAGAAAAGAAACAACAATGAAGTACTCCATCGCTGCTCTCGCCATCTTGGCCGCACCCTTTGCCAGCGCTGGAAGCCTCACTGAACTCCCCACTTGTGCTGTAAGTACAGCCACCTCTTCAAAGACCCCCTTTCCCTCGAAGCACCATGATACTGACATCACCTCCAGCAATCCGCAGCGGAAGCCGGCATCTCCGCCACGGGCTGCGCGGAATCCGACTTCGCCTGCATCTGCGGCGACTCCAAATTCGTGACCTCGCTGCACAACCTGATCGAAACGGTCTGCTCCGCCGCGGACCAGCAGGGTAAGCTCCCCCTCCCCTCCCCTCTTCGACCCCAAACCCCGGAGCACGCACGTTCGTCGCTGACGGTCACCCCTTTCCTTAGTCACCCTGGCCTTCGCGCAACAAATCTGCGACGCCGTCGGCGTCACCCTCAGCATCCCCACCCCGAGCGTCACAGCCTCGAGCATCATCCCGGCCACAACTGCTGCGTCGGTGCCGAGTGCGATTGAAACGGCGGGTGTGACGAGCAGTGCTTCTTCGGTAAGTGATAGAAAACCATAAACCTGATATCCTTCTCCATCCTCTCCTAAATCGGGTTGTTGTTTCCGTTCCGTCGACCACTCCTCCTTCGGTGGTATCGCCTTCTGTGGCATCTTCAACAACGTCATCTGCCGCAGTTGTGTCTTGTCACTAGCACTGCTGCTTCTTCTTCTCCCACGTCAACAACAACATCTCCTTGTTCAGCAGCCTCGAAAACCACCACAGCAACCACTCTCGTACTATCTATCCACTTCTACCCTGACGACCATACATTTCCTTCCTTGTCTTTTGAACACAAAAGGACCACCCCCCGCTAACATGACCTTACTCCTCTAGTACTCCACCCTCCCGACCCCATCCGCTCCCTACGCGTTCGCAAACGGCAGTGCCAGCATCAACGGTACCAACTCTACTATACCGTTCACCGGCGATGCCGCGGAGCGCAAGGCTATGGGTTTCCAGCTGGCGGGTAGTGCAGTGTCGATTGCTGTGTTGATGGGGTTCTTTTTGTAGTGGGGTTTTGTTTTGATTGATTGATTGATACAGAATTTAATATGAATGTCGGTTTTGTATGTTTCGTTTCAGAGGATGACGGCGCTGCCGCTTGGCGGCATTTTCGGGGGGTTGTGGTTTGAACGGATCATAGGTATAGATAGATGGTGAGAATGACAGTAATAGATGGTGCATTCTCCATTCCTTGTCCATTGGTATTAGAGTCTAGATCGTCCTGATTTGTATATATATATGCCCATCCATATTTCCACGTCATATCCTCGTGTACATGTTCGTATCCATAATATCGTATATCCAATCAAAGCGCCAGCAAATCTCTACCAGCGTCTGATATACCGTCTGCGCCCACGGGCACTGAGGCTTTTCTCTTCCTTCTCCTCCTCCAGATCGAGTCCATCCTTGTCATTGGAGGTCTACCTCTCGCAGATGCCGACCTCTCGCTCGCAGCATCATCCCTCAGGACAATATGATCCGCACTGGTGCCGTCTGACAGTCCGGCCGGGGTCGCCCGCTCTCTAGCAAACCACTCTCTCCGCTCACATCTTCTCGCCTCGACCCATTCACCACCCACCCCACCTCTCCGGCATACCGTCGCCATAAAGGCGCCAGCGTCCAGCATCCCTCTTGGCAAGCCTTGCACAACTTGGAAGAGTTCCATTGGATCGCTCACGTCCTTGATCCGTTGCTCGCCGAGCTTGAAGATGGTCAGAGCGACTCGAAACAAAGTGCGGCTGCCTTCATACAACAGTACATCCCACACACGGAGAACGGTTTCGATGGGTAAAGTGCCGATGAAGAGGCTCATGAACCAGGGGGTCGTGCAGAGACTTATAGGCGGCAGTCTAGTACTTCCATCAATATCATCGCTAGATCCACCGGCAGCGCCCACTTTCGCCCATATATGAGGAAGGGTGGATTTCAGCGCTAGCATCAAGATCCATAGATCGACGTTTGTACCTTCGAGATTAAGCTCATGCGTACCCGGTAAGTAGACGGTGGTGATGATGTGAAGCATCCAGAATGCTTTTTCTTCGGGAAGGAACAATAGCAAGAGGCCAGCGAGGAAATTAAGAGACTGGCAATAGCCGATGCGAGGATTGTGAAGGGCATAGGCACGGAGGACATGGCGGAGAGAGCTTAGAAGCGGCAATTCAGCAGCAGAAGATCCTGAAGAACGAAGGTCGGGTTTGAAGTGGATGTTATCCGGGAAGGTGCGGTGGAGGTCACGCTCGATCGATTCTTTGTCAGCACTGGAAAGCTCGTCTTCTGAGCGCGACACAAGGGAGGTGTAGAGACCGGCATGTTTTTCGAGGTACGCATCGCCACCGGCGTAGAAAAACCAAGCAGGTCCACGCCATGCTGGAGGAATGCCTTTGCGAATGTAGCGCTCGGTTTTCGCTGACCGGTTAGGGAAGCGGGTGGGAATGAAGGTTGGAAGACCTTGCTCTCGCATGTATGATGACCATTTCTTCGTGCGTCTCTCTTGGCTTAGTAAATAGCCGTTGGCCCATGCGTCGTACTGTGGGATCGTAATATGATGGCTGGCTTTAAGGAAACCATATTGATCGCGAGTTGACGTCGGGGGGAGTATTGGAGGTGGTTGGATAGACTCTCTTTTGAACGCATCATACGATATCCGTGCAGTCGAGCTAGTGGATTGACTTGTCGTTGGCCGTCTGGAAGGGCGCATTTCACCGATGGTGTCTTTGATAGCCTCAGCAATTTTCATCGATCTTCTGCGTTCCTCTTCGCTCATTGAGGTGTCTCTCGAGTCACTCGGTCCGGTGTCATCATCATCAGCAAACCCAGCAGCATACATGTCGATTGCATCGTCTACGGTCATACTCTCAACTTTCGAGACAGGCCTTGACTGTTGGTCGATCGTTGAATCCGTGATCGAGGTACCCTTGGTCAGAACACTGCTCCTCTCCGTGCTTGTTGTGTCTATATGGCTAGAGCTTGTTGTCAACGCGGACCGAAAGCTGGATCTTACTTCGTCGTTGCTATATGTGGCTTGCCATGGACGCTGCGGACTCATGGGGAAATCTTCTAAATCGAACAGTGACGGGCTTGACACATCTTGACCTTGTTTATTCACACTAGTTTTCCTTTTGCCTGTTGGCTTTGAATTGGACTCGCCACCTGCTGTAGAAGGTCTGGTCAGTTGTGGCTGGGCTGGTGAGCTCTTGGGTTTTGGTGCTGTGACTGAAGCACCACGACCTCGAGGGACAGACGAGAAAGCAGATGGCATACGAAGCCCAGTCTTGGTTTCTTTCGGCAGAATTGGAAACGTTGGCGAGTGGTAGATTAAAGGCTTCTCTGCTGACTTCTTGCGAATAACACTTGACAGGGGTGCTGTCGAGTGACCTTTCGGAGTACCGGGAATTTGGTGACTTGCTGTTACGGATTCGCTCTTTACAGTCGCCTCCGACCTTGTATTGTCCGTCTCTTCAGTGCTTGACATTGCCAATGGACTTCCAGGGCTGCGCTTGTCGAATTGGGCCATACCCTCCAATTGCTCGTCGTGAAGGTGCTCGTTCATAAGACAGTCAAAGCTCATACTTGGAATTCGTGGAGCGCCTGAGGAACCCAAGGGCCAGAAGTGTGTCGGCACTTGTGGTATAGGTGGAGTGTGTGGATCTTCCGGTGACGGCGGCCTTGATCGAGATGATCTCCTTGAAGTTGAAGAGAATAGTCTTGTAAGGCTCTTCTTCTTCTTGAGCGTCTTCCCAGGTGCCACTCCATCGTCAATCGCAGCTGCCAATGGCTCTCCCAATCCACTATCGACGAACGTCATGGTGTAACCGGCTCTCACAGCATCAATCTGGGTGTGTTATGAGCGATTAGTTGCGTTGGAGTCAGTTCCGCCAGAGCTGGCAGCAATGCTGCTCATCGATCTTGATAGATCCGTAGCCCCTTCACACATCCCGGGCAAACACCAGCGTTTAGCAGATGGTTGATTGATTGCCCTGAGTTTAGGAAATGTGATGGCTTCGGTACGGCTCGGATCCAACGAGATGGAGCGCTCTGATGAATCTGGAGCAAGGCAGTGTCGCGTTTTGATTGTTGACATGAGGGAAGACAACGAGATAGCCTGATCATGGATAAGATCCTGCTCGCTTACTGCGCTCAGCTAGAGCTGATCGTTGCATCATTTGGGAATTTAAGTGTGTAACAGCAATTTTAGCGGAGAATTAATATTACAGGCGGGATTGGAAAGGTCGTAGTCCGCGACTCCGCAGGAACAAAATCTGCGTCGCTGCCGCAGACACGCGTCGATAAGGGTCAGGTCAGAAGTAAGTTTTCCGGGACGACGCGTTTGGCGAAAGGGTTCAACATGGAGGGCGTACTCTACTTACCTATCCGTACACTGTATGTAGTAGGGACTGGCGAGAGCTGCAACGGCAAATGGGGGCCAAGCCATCACACGGCTCGGCTCACGCTGTGCCTGAAAATCAGCACCGAAAAGAAGCTGCCGATTAACAGCGAGAAAAAGGGGGGCCGATTCAATTGTTCTAGCCTTGCGGGCTGCAGTTGCACAACTTCATAGGCATTTGAGAATATCATGAGGTATCTAGGTAGCTACTTTACTTTACCCTTCACAGAGTATCCTCGCGTAAATCAAGACCTTCTGCCTCCTTTATGCGAGCCGCTCCAATGATTGGGCCTCCTGCACCTGCATGGACCAGTACTGCAACCTTCTCACCACCTCTCTGCAGGGGCGGTAAAGCGTAACTCTGGAACCCCCCGCTCCAGCTGCCCACATGGGTAACATCTTTGACAATGTGACTGTGTCGTAATTTTCGTCCGTTGTTCTCGCCATGCGTGATACTACCATCATGGTCTCTATCATCGTATCGTATCACGCTGACGACGCCATGCTCATTTCCGAGGCCTGATACTGTAATACCTCCACCATGGATCATGTAGAGGATCTCCATTGTCTGCGCAGTACTGAATGCATTTCCTTTCGTAATCAGAACCTGTAGATCTCGGGAATTGTGACCCACGCCATCGACTTGGCCGTTGACAATGACCTGTTTATGGATCGTCAACATGACTTCAGAGCACAACGCCTTGGACCATCTGCCTAACCTGCGGCGTAAAAACATTCTTCCTTCGAAGAGCTGTGGCATACTCCCATTGCCTTTGATCGAACGCAGACTTCGCAAAGATGTCTTTCCATCCGAAACGATCCCAGTATGTCACATGGCATGTAAGGATGAGCATGTTCGGGTCTTCCGCGAGCTTGAGAACATTTGATTTTTGGTGGGCACGACGAACAACCACAGTCAGAGTATATATTCTGCGTAACGACATATCTGGTGCTTGAGATGTAGATGTTTTATGGTAACGGCGATATAGAGGAGATGGTGAAGAAGACACAGGAGGAGAGACCAAGATGTCCCCAAAAGACACTTGATCCACGAGTTTGAGGCATATCCGGGAATCAAGAGCATCAATCATGAGAGATGCGCAGCAGGAGCAATGCCATGATCATTCTTCAGTCATCATTTATTCGCCAAGAAGCCCCCAGTAACGACAGTCTTACTGTATGGAGAGTCACTGAACATTTGCAACAGCCTCAACTGCTACTGATTCATCCTCGATCACGGAAAGGGATGCCGAAGTCCGAACCTGACCGAACGGCGCTAATGCCCCGCTAATGCGAACCTGTACAACCAAAGCTCCAGGCATTTGTTTTGAATCCATGAGTGGTGCGACCACGAAGCTGGAGAGACCACCTCTGCTCCAAAATGCTCCACCTGCAATAAATCATGTCGTCGACAACGGTGGGCCTGCTCACCTCATACGCCGAAAAGACCAGATGGACGCCAACTCAGGCCAGTAAAGATGCCAATCGGAAAGCTCTTCAGGACAGCTCCTGGGCTGATGTTAGCCGCCTCCGCTTCCTCACTACGTACTGAACTAATGTAAGTGGCAGGGGCTTCGAGGTATCGCTGCTGTTTTTGTTATGTTCAGCCATATGACCCTTGCTTTCGCCCGCTACATAGTCAGACCTGCCGACGGCGAGCACGGGCCCTCACAATGGATGCAAAGACCTATCCTTCGACTCGTTGGCCAAGGTCCTGCCTGGGTTGCTTGCTTCATCATACTCTCTGGTTTCGTCAACTCGCTGAAGCCTATCAAGCTAGCCAGGCAGGGCAATATCGAAACAGCAATATCCAACCTTGCCGTGAGCGCGTTCAGAAGGTCCTTCCGTCTCTTTCTTCCAGCCGCCGCAGCTACAATCATCAGCTGGTTCATCTGTCAATTTGGCGCATATGAAATAGCAAAAAACTCGGACGCCTATTGGCTGCAGATTACAAGCCCGGGAATAAGCCCCTCGTGGGGACAGGCCATTATAGATCTTGTGTATGCCATCCGAAACACCTGGCTCTACAATCCAGAAAATCCTTACGACCAGCCTCAATGGGCTCTCATGTACCTTCTGCAAGGCTCTATGTTCGTATTTATGGCTTTGCTCGCGACTATCAACCTAACACCTCGATTTCGAGTGATGACCATGATGATCTGCTGGTTCTGGTCGTGGAATTGGGGTATAAGGATCGGTGACCGTACGGACATCCGTTTGAATGAATGTCCCTCGCTGACCCTCTCTTCTTAGCAATGGTTGGTGTAAGCTGTTTTGTTGGCATCCTGCTCTCTGAGCTGAATAACTCTGAATATCCTCTCCGTCTGTCGCCACTCTCACCCTTCTTCGCACCACCAATGGCGCTCGTAGCACTCGTCTTGATGTCGTTTCCCTCCGAATTCCAGCCTTGGGCCCAATGGTCCAATTTCCTCCTTGAATGGTTCCACAGAGTGTCGCCCGAAAACGCTGAACTTAGTCGCTTCTGGCCAACGATCGGCGCCCAGCTACTCTGCCTCACTGTCGTGCTTTCCCCGCACATACGCCGTGGTCTCAGTCATCCGTGGTTGCTCTGGCTTGGCAAGGTCAGCTTCCCGTTGTATCTGTTGCATGGCTCGTTCATGCGCAGCCTACTCTCGTGGCTGCTATTCGCAAGAGAACACCTAGTGGAATTCGAAGAGCACAATGGCGACCAGAGCTACATTGTCATGAAATACCCATTGCCAGGCTACACGACCTTCATCATCGTGATGCCGGTTTTCTTTGTCATCTTGTTTACAGCGACACATGTATGGGCGATGAAGGTCGAGCCGCAATTCGGGCTCATCACTAAAAAAGCGGAAGATCTCATGTTTGGGAAACAGGAACGGCCTCCTGCGTTGCCTGTGCGGCATGATTAGAAGGTATGTTCACGGCCATGATGCGCTTGATCTAGAGTGTTGGATATATGGGGATTGACTGGTTTGGTTGGGGTAGAGTGATTGCGTACACAGTATGATATAATGTTTCGTCTACGGGTACTCGCATCACCTATGCTCATATGAGTATTTGACGGTACCAAAAGACTGTAAGCATATGATGCATGTTTCCGCCGTGTTTGTTACAAGCACGCAGTTTTCCCCAGGATTAACTTGGCACTCTTGGTTGCTGGCCTGCTTATTTTACACATTTATGGGCATCGGGCCAGATAACTCTGACAATGCATGTGCAGAAGCATTCCATACACAGTATGGTTACAGACAAAAAGTCGTCCACGGTACTGATGTTGTAAGCATCCTACCCTCACGACTGCCACCTTTCCCATCGTGCTTTAATGTACCTATCTCGGAATTGTCGACAGTATTCGCGCCAAAGTATCATGTCACCTGCACGTTTCGGAGTCATTGTGGCCTTGTTGAGGCAAAAGCCCCAGATTATACAACAGATCTGGGACTTGGGACTGGCCTACTGCGCTCGAGACAGGTCTTGCGGCTCAAAAACCAGGGTTCGATTAGTGTAGGGAGATGTTGCTCCGAAATGTGCACTCACGGAACGTGCCCCCAGAGACTACCACCAGATTGTTTTCAAAGCGTCTATTAGAAGTAGATTCGAGGTCGTGTCTACCAGGCTGGCCAATGCACACAGTGGAGAATTTTTACGTGGGAGCACATAGCGACTCGGGAACGAAGCCAGGAATGGGAATACGGTATCTCCCTCCTTGTCTGCGAGTGACTCAATGGCAAGAATCTTCAGAAGCGCCAGATCCTGTACTGGACCAGTGGATCCCACTATCGTCACTCGACTTGGACTGCCAGACCTGTGTAGAAGAGTAGCCATCTGCGCTTCCCCGTCTTACCGTACTGTTCTTCTTCATCGCCGAAGCAATGAGAGCAGGTCCAAATCCATCTAACTGGGTCGATACAAATAGTGCTACGGTCCTTGCACTGAGCAGAGATCGAAGTGGCGTTGGGCGCATTACGAATGTGCTGTCCAGTCAAATATGAGAGTGCAGGGCAAGCATTCTTTTGCCAATTTGCTCCGATTCTGGCGCAAGAGAGTCAACTCGGCAGGCCTGAGTCCTGAAAGCTTGGAGCCTGAGGCCTCGACTTCGGATGCTTTGAGGAGAAGATGAAGAGGCATGGGCAAAGGAGACTGGAGAGGGCACGGCATTGTGCGATTCCACAGACGCTGTTACAGCAGATTTTGATCTAGTGAGGCTGCGGCTATTGTGTGACATTATCTCGACGAAACGACTGCAACAAAGACCGGACAAATTGAGACAGACCTGAGACAGGTAGATTGATAATTATGTAGAGCAACCTTTTTCTCCAAATCGCATTGTCATTCAAAAGGACAGTACACGTCACTCCCTTGTGGAAGTCTTCTCTTTTTTGTTGTCATCAACAATGAAGCCTGAGCCGAGCACATTCGTTGGTGCACGTGGAATGTGGACTGTTTGTATCGTGGTATCCAAGGATCAAAGGAAAGAGGCGCTAATTCCTGAAGTAGCCTAGTGCCAGATTAGGACGACAACACTGAAACAAAGGGGTGTTTTGTCCGGCTCAGCAAAGTGGCGGAGTACGTAAGACCCTCCTCTTCCTCTTCTCTACAACTAGACACCTTCCACCAACCATCGTGTACTACAACCAGATCATCACCACATACTGATTTCAAATTCTGCCATACAGCAATCATGTTGCTGTCTACTACTCTCCTCTTCGCCACCTCCTCTCTCGCCTTCCTCATCCCTGAAATCAACACTGAAGACCAACCCAAATCCGACATCCTACCAACTTTCATCGAAACGAACAGCCGAACGGTCAACTTGGACTGCTCGACTTGCCCATTTGCACTCAGCAGCCAGCGAAATGGCGCTCATGAGTGGACTGACGACGTTGAAAGCGAGCTCGAGATGAAGTTCGGGACTGAAGGCAAAACCCTCAAATTAAATGGCGTCCCGTTCTATCCTATGTCCAACCCAACCATCCCACCTACCCTTTACGTTTCACAGAGCAAAAAGGATGGCCAGTCATCGAACATGGAGGGCTACGACGGCAACTTGAGACTCAGCTACAGCATGGAGTATGAAGAGAAGAAGTTCGAAGACAACTCTCTCGTCACTGTCCTCATGACTGTCATGGGCCTTGATGGCCAAATGATTAAGGTCGAAAATATCGAGGTCACAGCCATCAAAGAACAGGACGGAACAGTACGCCTCCACCCCATTCATCCCTTTTCCAAAGCTTGAAGCTAATTGTATCCAGCTCATCCTCCACTCCACCAAGACCGTTCCCGTCTCTCCGGACTCCCCAGATGCCAAATGTGAGACCATCTTGTGCCGCGTCTTCACCAAGGTGATTACAGGCGTGGCCAAAGCCAAGGCTTCCGCCAAAACTGCCGGCCACAAGATGAAGTGTTTCTGTATGAAGTGCTTCCACAAGCTCACTGGGCACAAGAACCACCCGCACCCCCACCACAAGGGCGCAGGCAAGCATGGAATGCCTCACCGCCTTCCAGATGGCACCATGGAGCTCCCCGAGCTCTCCTCCCACATTCACTTCAAGCCTCACAGCCATGGCCACCATCACCATCACAAGGGCTTCGTCCACCGTATGGCTATGATTCTTAGGACTACCTTCAAAGTTGTCTTTGTACCCATCCTGATCGGTGTCGCTTTTGGTATGGCTGCTTCGGTCATCGGAATGTTGGTTGGCCAGGTGATTGTATTCTTATGGATGAAGTACAGAGGCACCTCTCGTGAGGCTGCTTACGAGCCATTGGACACTGATGAGAAGGAGGCACCACCTGCCTATCAGGATATCCACCAGGGTGCTGAGGCCCTTAACGAGAAGGAAGTCGATGCTAAGGCTTAGGTTGAAGGTTGGAGAATAGGTAGAGTCGTGTGGGTTGCAGAGTGCTCGAGAATTGGATTGTTCCACAATCCACTGCAGATCAGAAGACGTGCAGATGAATTGCAAGGACGAACAGCGACTTTCCTATGTTATGTTTTTGGCGTATTGTTTTCGTCCGCTTCAAGCAATTGTCACTCTCTTTATGTCAAGTACAGGCTCTAAGTGCGCTGGCGTTATTTCTAGAACAATTATATCATGAATCAAGTATCGATCTATCTCAAGTGGATCGGCTGGGTATCTTTCGTATTTGATGTCCTCCTCTCCTAAGGTCTTCAGAACCATGTCTCCACTCATTGCAAAAAAGCCCTGATAGCAGCCCATCCACCTAGCGCTCCAACCACAATCGCAAGTAACATCCCTCTACCCTCCCACGTAAGTCCCAAATACGCCGCAATACCCACCATAACCTCCTTCGTTCTCGCGGCCTCTCTTTGCTCCATCCATAATACGTTTAAGCCACAAGGTGGTACCAGCCGTACATCCGTCTTTGCCTCTCTTTCTTGCTCTTCACTAGGTTCCGGTATCGCCGCCGCAGGTATCGAGAACGAGCAAGCTACGGGCCGGTGATCACTCGTCGCCATCAGTGGTAGCGCTTTGTACCTTTGCACCTCCACCCTCGCTGCTGGGTTCATGGATTTCATCCAGGGCGGCATGTCGAGGTAGAGCACGCGATCGCACCAGCTGGGCCAGCGGTGTTTCGCCCATCTCCATTCCTTTCCGTCTGCGTCGCTATCGTCCTGTTGTTGGGAGGTTGCGGCCGAGCGCGCCTCGTCCGAATATTTGTACGTGGGCGGGAAATCGACCGGTGCTTCTTGGAGACCGTGACATGTTCTTCCGGCTCGCATCTCGCGCTTGAGTTGGTCGGATGGGAGGAGTCGTGAATAGTGCTGTTTGGCATTTGCGTCGCTGCTGGGTTGGGGCCAGGTGACATGGGCATCCGGTGAGGGCTTTGCGGACGAAGTGCGGTAGTTGAGGTCGCCAGCGACGATGAGCTGGGATGTCGGTGTGTATAGACCTGACATTGGGGGTATGGAGTCCTCGCCAGGCGATGCCGGAAGCAGAGGTTCGGTATCGTTGGAACTTTCTTGCGGCAGACGCTGTGCAGTGTTCTTCCGGACCGCAGTGGGAGAGACAGGCGTAAAGACGAGACCGCGAACTATATTCATCCAATCCTCGTTCCTGCGCTGCAACTTGTTTTCCATGGGAGCCAGATGCGCCGACACAAACGTCAATTCGAGCGTAGAGTCACCGATCGAATACCCCATCCGCACCCCCGCAGCCCCCTTATTCCCCATCTCATACATCCCCACTCCCACCCCCGCTGTCTCCAGCCACCGTACCTGCGCCGTTTGATCTCGAAGTACAAACACCATTATAGCAGTCATGCCAATGTTTCTGGTGATGATGTTGACGTAGCTCGCGTCGTCGAGGGAGGCTGCTGCAATGGTAACGGCATGGCGGAAAGGAGATAGGTAGGGGACGAGGTATGAGCCGCCGAGGAAGGAGTAGGCAATTGGGGCGATTTCTTGGAGGCAGAGGATGAGGATGTCGGGGGCGGTAGGGTTGGCGAGGGCGGAGAAGAGGTGGGTGGAGAAGATGGAGGGGTCAATAGTTTCGCGGCCACAGTTGAAGGTTACGACGTAGGGGTTGAGAGAGGACATTGCGAGTAGGGGCTTACGGTGGTGAAGGTGGAATTGAAGTATGGGATCGCTTCACGGTAACGCCAAGCTATCAAAAATGTACCTGGCCTCAACCCTCTACAAGGGCAGTCATAATTCAAAAGCAGGCCGATAAGTGAGCTTGCAAAATTGCCTTCGATTTTATCACTCCTCTTTCTACCTCACGATACAATGGCATAGCGGCAATGCATAAGCTTCTTTCGGTGTGGTTGGAAAGCTTTTCTGATCTATCTATCTAGAAGAGTGGGAAAATGTGGCCCGCAGTGATTGTAGCTAGGTAGGCCCTAGGCCCATTGGGCTGAGTGCTGTGTCACGCGATCAGGTGTTCCCATGTTCCCATGACATTTGCCCACAAAGACAGAGAAAGGCCATAACCCCCAAAGCAAGAAGTATGCACCAAATGGTAGTGGTGCTCTCCGTATGGTGAAATATTTCGTAATGGTAGCGGCACAATAGGAAGGTGATCTGGTGACAAAACCATACGTTGATATGGCAGTTCGAGGTGGCGGCGAGATCAGATCCCTGCTATCCAGACTGGCAGTACCCACTTGACTATTCAGATTTTGATTAGAATCCTATTTGAGGTTCGACGATACTCAAAATCAATCGCAATAAAGACGATCTCGTCTAGACCTCGAGACTCTGAAGGCTAAAGCCCGAGGAACTCTTGCAGAAGTTGAAGACCGGTATCTGAGATGGTATATCGGAGTGCTATGCTGACGACGGTGAGGCAATTTCGTCGTGGATTTCGAGGTAGATTCTGTTGTCCGGTAGAACTTCTCTGAGGAAGACACTGGTAATATTTGGTCGCTACGTCTGCTCTGTCTGGAATGGGAATTGTGTAGTCGCTCCTGAGAACTGTTTATGGTGGGTCGTTTTGAAGACGTTGAGGGGATCAAACGTTACTCGAAGGCTAAGCCTCCAGGTGCGCGGCATCCTCTGTCCCTCAAAAAAATTGTATACATTATTCATTAATAACTCGATTTCAACATATAAGACGGTTTGGTCGATTGGTTCGAGGCGTCCAAAGTATAGATATCGGCCTTGAGAGCTTCGTGCGTGTGCTCGTCTTCATCACTTTGAGACCTCTTTGGCGATCTAAAACCCGGATGGGCCCACCTAGGATGAGTTTTAGTCTTTTTCTTCGAAGAAACAGTACAAATATCGACATCTGCTTACCTATCTACAACTTTGCTTCTCCTCCACTAACAGCCCTAGTCCTATAGTTCCACCTGGGATGATGAATTCTGACATCTCTTCCTCCGACTTTGCTCTGCGCCTCTAAGACCACTTCCTTCGAAGTCAATGACACCAACTGGCCTCGATCATGGTGCTTGAAACCACTGTCGATTGGCCAACTTTCGACATCTTGACCCTTCTTCAAGCCTAGCGGATCACTGGCGTCAACATCTCCCTCGGGCTCATAGAACTCCGCTTGAGTCACGTGTTTCACGGCTTCAGCCCCTTTCAATGTAATTGGCTTTGGTGCAGACGATTTGGCAGTTGATACAGCCTTGCTGAAACGGCCAATCCAGGCGTAAACCTTAGGAAACTTCTCTTTCGAAATGAGAGAGTGAGGAAGGGCTCCCTTTAGCTCAAGAAGCCAATGAAACGGCCAGACAGCTAGACCGGGAGCACTCGTTAGCATGGATGCCCCTTGGACCAAGAAAAAACCAGACCTTCAATATCTGCCAATGAAGGCTTCTCGGTCTTCAGTACCCATTGTCTTCCATCAGCTAACAACCCTGTCTCAAGAAACACAAAAGCATCCCGTATATGTGTCAAAGCTTCCGGCCGCATGGCTTCAATGTTCTTTTTGTCCCAGCTTCTCCCAGTGTAGTCTTCTCGATCTTTCGTGAACTTTGGATCGTTCAACAAAGGCATATCCGTGGGAATGGCCTGAGCTGCGCGAACGAAGATACCTCCATCAATCGTCCAACTCTCGAGGAGCTTCTCTATAGCTTTCTGATCGGGCTGGGGAGCACCTAATGCGCCGGAGGGGAACTTTTCTTCAAGCTTGTGAAGTATAAGGCGAGTGTCGCAGTAAATGTCGCGCCCAATGGACATGATAGGGATCCGACGGTACTTCACACCCAGGGCATTGATGTCCTCGCGAGGAAGATAGACGGGTTGGATCTGGTCCTGTAAGCCAATAGCTCTAGGGAGAGCGCAGATTTTGGCATACGCATTGTCCATACTCAATGCCTCGGAGCGTGAGATACCAAATGACTTTGCGGGCGAAGGGGGAGAATGAGTAATGAAAGAAGACTATATCATTATGTGGAGCCATTGCGCCACTGGCAATTGATGAAAATCGAGTATGTTTTCGAAACAATGAATACAACCAAAAGATGCTATATTTCCATCATCGACACGAAGGGACATAGAGCAGATGTAACAGATATTGTTCCCACCGATATCGTCACCAAAACATCATACCGAGGTACTCGGATCTCGAACCGATTTCCGGATCTAACATCGGCATTTGGGAAACGCTGCCTTTGGGATCAAGGAGATGAGGGTCTTCTGAATGGAAAGGCGATATGCACTGTATATCTCCATAGCCTAGCAACAATACCGCATGTTTATCGTAAGAACCATTGAGAACGCGTCGAAACGTTCAAGGTTTTCCACAGCTTCTCTGAGAGGTCGGAGCAAGAATGGCCAATTCGGGCAGCTTGTGTAGACGATCGTATTACCACGTTTTATAGTAGGGGCTATCAAAGTTACTTCTACTTATAATAAGTAGAAATGCAATAAGCTACTAGTTCTTTGACAGCACCTCATCTATTTCGACTTATGAATAATAACTATTTCTTCTTCTTCTTAAATAGTCTCGTAGTAATGATACCGTGTTAACTACATTCGATATAGGGCCTTGGCGGATAGAAACGGCCGGAGAACGCCTCCCAGAGTTCCAATAGTGGCCCATGGCCACATAAAACACCTCCCAAAGCTATTGCAACGACAATAATACCTCAGCGCAGTCATTATAACTTCTGTCTGCATCACGGGATCCGTCTCTAAGTCAGACGGGCTGGAATCGCTGCTGTTTAAAGCCTTGGTTACCTTCTTGGTAAGTGGCGTCTGTCAGGGCGCGTTTAGGCTTCTTTCTGGCTATGACGCCTATAGGATTAGGCTTGACTATGATAGCGTGTTATATGTGTAGAAGGCTACTCTAGAGCGTGTAATAGAATACGAAATAAGTAGCTTATGGAGTGTTGTTGCTCCTCCAGAGGAGCAACTCAGAAGTCGTTTTTTTTCTACTTATCATAGGGCTGA